GGAGGCATGCGGATGGGAACCACGTTTCATCAATGGAGCCGGCCCACACTCTTTCACAGGCAAACACAATCACGCTGCAGTTGGGAGTCAATCGCACACAACACGGTAGCTGGACCGTAGTCCGTTCCACACTGAGTGCATGGAACCACTCTTTGAGCCTAGCACGATCCCAAGGGCCGTGCACCCCGTCCCCTCCAGCAACGGCCAACTATCTCCTAGAGCCAGTATGAACGAGGTAGTGGGTACTAGACAGGTAGGCACCTTGTCAACATGCACATCAAGCGCAGTCACACCGAGGATGTCAAGCAACAGTCAATCGCTTGACAGAATATTATGAAATAAAATATATCTGATAAAGAATACGGCTATGCGGACATAACACTACCCTTAATTAGCATATGAAGTAAGTTGGTTAGCAACGAATCCACGATAAGTACAAAATGTCCAGAAGTTACTCAAAAAGGCTACCAAGTTAATAAAGTTAACGAACATAACTACAATTAGCATAAGCAACGTGGCCAGTTGATAGAAGATTATTCAGGTAGGCAGAACAAGCCAAATACATTAGAATGAAATTTATCCCGCTTAAAAAGACCTAGTTTAAGTGTAAGTTGGTTCAGCCCAACTGTGGTGACGAAGCATCATGAATGCAACACCAGCCTCAGCAAGGGGCATTGATATTTACATACATTCCACACATTTCATGTAAATATAATTGAAGCAATAACTAAATCTATTTCCCCGATTGCACGCGAGCAACATCCTCGAATGCATGCTCAGTTTGTACAACAAGCAATTGTCCGATTGTGAGGGCAATAATTGCATTAATGACTAAATGGGTGTGTTGTCTAATGGTGCCACTAGTGCGTCAAAGCAGAGTGCAATCTAAATCCACTGTCTAAAGTGCTCCTGGGAGTATGATTCCCCTTAGCCGCAAAAGCAGCCTAATAAAACCTCCCGGATTGGAAGCCGCTCATGGCGCTATGAGAGCTTTTGTCGCGATTGTATTTTGCCATGTATTGCGGCAACAACCGGTGCCCATCAGACGGTCGTTGCATAGGGCTAGGCTGTTTTTCTCAATTTCAGGTACAGAGAGCCACTAGCGCAACTAGCGGACGGTAGCTTTTGTTGAGGCTGCAACCCTTGCAGGCTGTTGGAAGAGAAGCGTTGTAGGCTTACAGGTTGACTGTACGGTTGCCTTCATTGCTCGCTTGCCTATCTGGCCACACATGATACTGTATTCATAGTGTAATCGTGCCACTGCGAGCAATCAGGTGGATCGATAGATGTGCGATTCCGTTCAGGATATGCGTGTGATTGTTAAGGCAGTGTGAGGTAATCAGAAATAATGCAGTAATGCGTATAAAGGAGGTAAAGCTAGAACTTCTTCGCAAATAAAATTTTTAAAAGCTTTACAGCTACAAAGTTCTCGTGCTGTTTTTTTCAGTTGGCTTACACTCATGTGAATAGTGTAGCTACGTATTGCTGATGTAGTCGGCGCATTGTATATTAAGGTCAAGTTCGCTGTGTAGGTAAGACTGTCAGTGGATCTGTAGCCATTGTTCCAAAGAGGAGGGTTCCTAGTGTGGCGGTGACATAACATTAGTGAGTGTTCGTTCGTCTCCACACCTGTGGGCCACTTCGGTAATCAGTTACCACTTCAGGACCCATGGACCTGCCGTTACGTTAAGGTCGTAAGATGCATGTCCATCCTGCGTTTCAACATGATATTTACACTTCACTTCCAAGTGATTGATAAGCTTGAAATATCAAGTGACCCTACGGCCCTGATATGATCTACCAACGAGCATTGCATAGTAAGCATAGGGTTTAGAGCAGTTTCCTACTTCATCAACGCCTGCCAAGTCGATAACAACCTGTGTCACGGGGCACTCACATGACTGCTTCTAAGACTAGCTGAAACAGTGGTCCATAGCAGGATTAGTGTGTGTGGTTGCTTTTGTAAATGATTGCAAACACATGGTAGGAACACCCTTGCATGAGACAATAGTGTTTATCTGTTCCAAGTACTCACCTGAATTACCAGAGTAAAATGCCTGCGTCGTCACTAATTATCAGCCTTGGGTTTTTTCTAGCAGGACGATGTGGCATGTATAAACGCCGTAGTCATTGTAGCCCCTTTAGGTGTTACTTTGTTGAGTAATGCCGATTTAATGAGGATAGCATTCCAGTCCATGGACGTTATAGGGAGGTTTCATCTGCATTGACTGTGCTTCTAGTGGTGCCATTCGGAAAGCCACTTGTCAAAGCGTCTCAACACGTATGGGTGACCATATGGAAGTGAAGCCTAATTATCCTACGGATACACATGTTCCTATGACCTTTACATAACGCGATACATGGAGACACTGAAGCGATAACTGACTAACAATTAGCCCATGGGGTGGAGAAAAACGAACACTCACTAACGTCGTGTCAACGCCACACTTGGAATCCTATTATTTTTTGTTGAGTCACCAACTGTGATCGAAGTAAGCAAACTTAGAATTTTCGTTGTTCCGCTTCAGGTTGGTCTACCAACTTCCATGGGAACAACTTCCCCCATTGTCGTCGCAATAACAATCGCACAAAATTGTCTAACCGCCTAGTAGCCGTTGCTGATTTACGTTTGGTTGTGCAGTGTCCAAGCCATGGTGCATGCCTGACCAACCGAAAATGAATGCCTGCCTCACTCCCTCAGATCTCAGAGACTGCGGAATACCAGTTAGAAGATTGCCTTTCTAGGCCACCATGGTTAGGCCGCTGAATATGCCACCACCAGGTAGCCGCCAGCGATCACTAAGTATAGACCGCTTCATGTGCTGGTTAGTATGTCTGTCCGCACTGGTTACGCCTTAAGCTTCGGATCATGTGGTAGCTAGGATCTCCTCCTTAGACAGGCATCACAAGTTGCGCATTGGACGGCTCCAGTTTGGAGACCAACCATCGAGGTTTCCTTCAGATAGGCATCAAACTAGAACAGAAGTTGGTGCTCGACCACTTTCATTGGACTGTCTGTCGCTTATGCTGTGGGCTTCTAACCGGTGTCCCATTGGTTAACGTCGCATGACCAATGAGAGTGTCAACGACGCCAAAACAGCGTTCTTAGCCTCGCTAACTTGAAAGTACTGCAAGCGATTTCGAAAGTTTGCCACGCCAAAAGCTTGGAACAATACCCTAACATGCGTGTAACGAGGTATAGATTGCGGCTTTGGTGTTTGGCGAACATTCACTTCGCACAGCAGACTGGCCTGGGTTCTATTGGTTTGCCTTGCGATCGAAGCACGACACGCCGATTACAGCTTTGTTTTTTGGCCAACATTCACTTCTCGCAGCCGAACGTCCTGTGTTCCGTTGATCTGTACCGCGATCGTAGACACACAGGCCTGGCGTCTTTTCTCAAACCACCATACCATCCACTTTTACCGGCGTGTTGGAGAAACCAACGTTCACCATTGGACATTTGGCAATTCATCGTGCCGAGGTACATCAGCACATGAGCGCGGCCGATCGATGTTTCGGATACGACTACCAAAACACCCTGTGTGATTATCAACCTCGTGCGCTTGCTAATAGAGCAGGGGATAAATGTGGCTCCAGTAATGAGGCTAGTAATTTGATGCACGGAAATTCTATCGAGTAGGAAGGTGCCGTACGATCCTACCTGCTCAGATGTTGATGTATGTGCGTAGCATAATTTTATAAAGAAATACGGACTAGCGTCAACTCCACATGCCTGTTTACGCAATCGCTTTTGGCACTGCGCTAAGTTGAGCACTTAAAGTACCTTGGGAAGTGTAACGAACAGGTACCCTTGTTTCGGAACCGAAGCATCCACTTCAACCGCACTATCTTCAGTTTGACCATCGGTGATTTGTAACTTGAAGGTTCCAGTTCGTGTGACCAGTGGAACAGCGCAAGTAGCGATCTGTGTTGAGTGGGGTTTAGTAGACAAGTTTGTCTGAAAATGCGCTCTGATGGTAACTTACAATAACTATCCCGTTATGTCAGTTGCGGTCGTCTGGGAAGTTGGTGATTGCTTGGGCTATAGTGTCTGGAAAATCCAGAAACCGTAGGTCATCACTGTTTGGTCCCGCTGACTGCGGACAGCTGAGTTAGTTGTGCGCCAACGTACGTAATCGGTTCATCGCCTTGCCATCTTGAGGAAAATGGATTATATTATGCACCTCTACTCGATCATAGACTTTAGGGCTTGCAGGCCTTATTCTGCGTATGTTAACTTTAGCTAACTTCTCTGCATACCGATCTGCAACAGACAAAGTGAACTGGCGTTTTCTGACACGACATTTCGGATGACGTGCTTGCTGTCCACCTATTTCTAGGGGCTTGTATGTTCAAATGAACAGTTGCGGAACGGTGATCAGGTAACCTTTAACAGGCATCATTATCCAAAACCTGTGACAAATTTTCCTTTTGCAGGTCCAGTGTTCGAACACCACGAGACAATTAAATCTTATGCTGATGCATGAAAGAGAGGAACCATTGTCACGACCATATAAAGTATCCATACTGTAGAGTACTGTCATTTTTGCTTCATTAGAATCAGACAGACACGGGTGTGCGTTCATCAGTTTTGGCGTAGTGCCACCCATGGAGACGTAGTGTTGGTTGACGAACGACAAAAGAAAGATTAAGTGATTATTTCATTACTGTTCTGTTACTTTTAATAAGTACCGGCAATTTGTGACCTGAGGGCTTTTCGCCACAAATGCATCCAATGTATGAAGTGCCACTGGCAACTCAAGGTTTGATTCATTTTTACCCCTGTCCGTAAAATGAACTAAAAGAGTTGTCGTAGGGTTGTGATTCCAAGTTCAAAATGACACTGATAATGGCGATGACCGTGATGCTTATTGAGGGGATCAGCACCTTCCGGTATACTGATGTCGTCCAATGAATCAAATGTGTACTATATGACCTAAGCGACAACGGCTTGTTACTAGTACTGTTAAAGCCAAACCTGGTTAACGCGAACTTACCTTGTGATATTCCAAGGCGTGTCTAAGATGCACGTTGGCCAGTTCGGCGTATTTCTGAATGTTATCCCAACTTACTTCAACCTCCGGGGTCAGATCCTGTGAAATATAATTTTAGATTTTTATTAATTTATATGTTTAGAGAAGCGTTAGCTGTTAATAGTTATTTGCATCCGGGAGTATTGTTAGTCTAGTACTATTACTGGTTCTCAAGTGCTTTGAGTCAGGGAACCCTAGGTAGACAACAATAGCTCATAGCGCAAGACTAGACTACACTGTGAGATGCGTTACAAATTGCTGCTAAAGTTAGTTTCATAAGCTTCCGTGAAGAAAGTCAACTGACTTGTTCCCGCAACACGGCTAAGCAGAAAACTCACTACCTCTCCTCTCAACTTTACCAGTGTGACCTGTAGAAATGAATCTGGATTTAGTTTTATCGCTCGAACGAAAAGCGCGCCGATGACGAATAAGCCTGTCCTATCTGCCAGGAACAACAGATTGGTGTATAGATCACGAATCGATGGTCCTATGCATTTAAAAGAAGATCATGGAGTTCTTAGAGAAGGGGGTCCTGTAAATTCTCTGTGGCTTTATTAGCTTTATGCTTACTTGGTTTGGTTCAGTTTTCTATCTATCGCAGCAGAACTTGTTAGATGCAATTGCAACATATGCTGACAACTGTACCTTCCAGTCTTCACGCAAGCTTATCAATGTCATATATTAGGTTAGTTTTTGGATCGTCCATACCAAGTTGTAAGTCGAAGAGTGGAATGAAGGAAGAATATTGCTGTTCAACTACTAGATGTGGTGATGAATGACTTACGTGAGCTGAATACGTCGATTGCATAACCTTCATTGATAGGTCGAGAGCTCTACTTGAAGTCCAGGTGGAAACACTCTGAAATTGGATGTTACAAGATTCCCAAGGCGATTGATTCAGTAATGCACACAGAAGTTACGAGAACATATTGTTAGGAACTGTCCGAAAATTGGAGTAACCACACAGCAACATGCACAACATTGCGTACTCTAGATGGTTGTTCACAAAACCAACAAACTCGGACACTTTATTTTCTTGGCTTTTATCATAGAAAAGATTAGCTAGGTAGAGCCGTTAGAGTAAGCCTGAAAGGAAGAGTTTCTATTGTAACAGTGTTTTAGAGATTATTTGGGTGGGTTCTCTGTTCTATCTGATTGACGACTGAGACGACGACTCAACTTGTACTGCAAACTTCGGGAAATCTATTCCTCTTGTTAGTTACGTCTCCATATTTTACAAACGAGCATGTAGAGCTCATTTTTAAGGCACAATACGCAAGTTAAAACCGCGTACAGTCCCTTCCAGAACTTGGCTATTAAATCAGTAATGAATAGCATTCTGTACGTAATGACGAGGAATTACGAAATCTCTGGTGAAATTTGAAGAACCAGTTACTTCATGTTCCATTATATGATTAATCCTCAGCTTCACACGGTGCTGGTACGTTATGCGATCGGATCTTATTGGGGGCACCACGTTAACGACGATCTTTTCGGAATCGTTTTGGAGTCCTCATATAAATCCCATAGTTTGTGGTGAATTAATGCAGTCTGTTTGCGTGATCGTTTTCAATGAATCGGTTCATTTACCTTAATGACTGGCGTATTTGCTTTAAAATCAGGCATTGGAAACTATAACCGTTGAGCATCTGTGATACCGTGTTTTTGATACAGTTGGTTCTACAAATTGGACTTCGGATGTATCGGTGTGTCAATTCGAGGAAATGAGGTTCCGTGTCACAATTCAAATGCACATTTGGGTGGTCAATTCGGAGCGGAACTCTCCATCATTAGTTATCTAAATGGATGTATTAACTAGTTTCAACATCCCAACATTCTTGGGTTGGGACCATTTGTGTAACACGAAGTCGTGCTTGATAGGCATGCATTTTTGCGCTAGTAACGCCAGCGCAGCATATACCAATATACCACAGTCGGTCTATTTGGTGAGCAGAAAACGGGTACACTATCATGTGCAGTGGAGTAATGGTCTATTACGAGTAAAAAAAGGTAAATCCACTTATGTTTCACCTGAGAATAGTTAAGTTGGTATGCTCTACTGCGACACGACGGCCCTATCCCTTTCGTTCGTTTTCACGTTGGATAAAGTTAAAGCACTGATGAGTTCCGTATAATTAAGGAACCTTAAGTGCGACGCACGTCAAATAGAATGGTCAAGGATAAATGCTTTGTTTTATGAAGTAACTCAAGTTTCTGGCTTTATTCACCGTCTCCTACGATCTACTAATACTTTAATTAAATGAAAATACACACCGATTAGCTTATATGTAACCTACAAGGCTGGTAATTGACTCGTGTGCTAGTCGGATGGTTGACCTCATAGAAGTTTTGGCCCCGAACGGAACCCTTTCTCCAAAATCTTGGCAGGCTGTGACTTTTCTTTAAGAATTGACTTGCTCACCAACCTTGACACGTTGACTGCAAACATTCCATTAGTTAAGTGCGTAGTTAGATGCGACGCGTGTTGTGAATTCTTACCCGTTTCGAGGATTCATACGCTACTACTCTATCTTCGCGATGAGTGGATGCTCGTTAGATTGTTTAGTGAAATTTAAGCAGTGACGATTTGGGTGATGGGAGTATGCAGTCGCAGGAACCAAGTGGATTCGCGAGATAGAGAGGGCCAACCAAGTGGACGCGAACCCAGGGGAGTCGGTGACGGGTCGTACCGCATTTCCCGGACCCCTCATGCACGGCTCCGTCGATTAATTTGTAGTTAGCTGCGTTACAACAAATCTAAGAGTCCACTGGAAAATTTCAGGGTGGAGCACCGTCCATGTAAATGATATCTACCTAACTACATCTATCACCTAGGCCAATACGTTTTGTTTCGTTCACTTCGCTGAGTGAGCGTTTGTTCCTGAGAAAATGAGGTTTGACATATTTGGTTTATTCTTAATTTTATCATCATCCTGTTTGCCTAGGTAATAACACTTGTCAGAAACAACCATTCTGATTGGTCAGTAGTTTTTAGCATGCCGCTGAGGCGGTAGTCCTAAAAACGCCTTTTGTAAGCAGTATAAGTGGTTGTCAACTCAGTGACATGTGTTACGCGAACGATCACCTGATTTTCGCCGCCCTAGTTTCCGGTATATTAGATCGATTTTGTTAAGTGGGTTCATTAAGGCTAACTACGCGACCTCCTTCGTTTATTGTTTGCCTGTACGGTAGATCTCTGATGTAGCTCCATCAAGGTTACAACACACTGGAGATTGTCCTTCTACACAAAGCTTGTGCCGATTTTATCGGACCGGCTCAGTCTCCTGTCGTAGCTGATGGTTTTCCTATGTGGTTCATACGCACGAACTATCCTGTTCTACAAGTCCACATGTGCAGGCTTTGAATGGGCTTTCCCACTCTTTTGTGGATTAAAATATTCAATGGAGTAAATTCTCTTTAGAAGTGGATCCTGAAACATAGGGGTTAAGTGCAACATTGCTGTGTCAATTGCTGTTGTATTTTTAGTATTTTAAACCAAATGTTTTGCCTGTGGTTAAATATCATCTGAGTACTTATTCCAGGGACATCATCGCAAATTGAACATTTTGAATCATAGTGCTATATGAAAGAAATTGAATGATCTACGTGAGTGTTGGACCTAGATGAGTTTGAATTAGGGCTTTAATAAGGACACCAGCATTAAGACGGCTAACTTACAGTCACATTACTTAGGTGATCAACTAAGCTTCGATTCCCTGCGTGTTAAAGTGCTTTGTCTCCAACTATGCTAGTTCCCCTGTAGCTAAGTATTGGATAAGGATACTCACCGCCAACCAACACAGCCACTAGTTAAGAAGTTGCATGTCGTTGCACTTTTTAAAATTGTATTTTCGATTGGCTCCAATACGAGGACTTAGGAAGGTTAGTTAACTTACCCACGTGGGATGTCACCCATCTTCTTTCATCATCTCAAACGTTCCCTCTTATCACACATAATACTGATTCATGAGGATAACTGAAACTGCTTTGTGTGCAGAAGCTGATGAGAGCGAAGGGTTTCACAAAGTCACCTGGACTGTTAAACTAGCTGTGTTTGGGAAGTTAACACGTGCGTCACCGAATGCGATTTATTCGTGTCACGGAATTCTTGTGCTAATTTTCACTTCTATCATGTAACGGAGTAAAAGAAACGGGAATATTCATTAGTATTATTGTCCACTGAGTTGAATATCATTCTGGTAGTTTTTTTAGCCTTCTACTCAGTGCAACATCTTTGTTATCTACCCGGCTCACAGCACCGGTCGGTAGCCAGGCTGCACTGTGCCAAATGACGAACTGGTTCCTGCGACACCAGGCTCCGGATTTGCTGACTTATCTGGCATTAACAAAGGACATCGGAAACATAAGTTAGCGAATAGGCTCGTTTTCCGTGGTCCACACAAATCAATGGCATAAAAGTACACACCAGATAAGAGTGCAGGTTCCAAGGTCTGGATGGTCTAAGTGACCATGCGTCATAATCTCGGTATACACATCAATGACCACGCTACATAGTTGAATAGCTGTCAACATCTTTCTTAAAGAATTAATTCCCCAATACCTGGTGTGTCCGAGGAAACGGCGTACACAGGCGGGGAAACAAATATGGTCATTTAAGTCCCTGAAACATCCACAACACTGCATTTGTTAACTACATGTCTCGAATACATCAAACTCACGGAATATAGTTTTTCCAATTCGGTAATGCCCGCCAAGTAGTGTAAGCCCGCCTCGTTTTCTTCAATACTTTCCTGGGAAGACGCATGTAATGAGCTCGGAACAATAAACTTACTTGCAGATTTTGCAAGTCAGCCAGTATGTGTGTGTGCTATTTGATTAAAAGAGAGACTGGTTAAGTGGCATCAATCTTGTGAACTTACCTCTGGCAGAATTCCCCTCGAAACCCATTCTATAGAATCTCTAGCATGTCGTTGCTCACTCAATTCCAGTTCCAAGCCCTTCTGAGTTGTTCGGAATATTGGCTCCTCTGCAATCGTCTGTGGAAGGAAAGATATCGATGAGGTCCTAACTTCAGTTGCTGTGAATCGGTTTTGTTTTGCTCAACCGTCCTCGGGAAACGGATTGTTGAAACGTTTCTTAGTATGTTTCCCATGACCGCCCATAATGTAATACATCACGACCATATGGGTGGTTGATATCATTTTGGACTTGACTTTATTTTTTAATCCATTTCCACTTCCTCCACTAAAGGATCGCAGTGGATTGTGACCCGTTATTATGCAACCCGTCGGTCGAGTCTGCGCCCCATACCAAAACCGACAGGGATTTTAACTCATAGCCAGCAGACGGTTGATTTCGATTTCAAATGTGTTTGAGCCACTTATAAAGTCAGCAAAGGCATTAGCAGTACATTGCCGACTCATCTTGCCGACGATTCGTTGCCACGCGACCACCACCAGCGGTCGCACAATGGATGGTTATACCGTGAGGTCGCCCGCGGATTAGTACTGGTGACCTCCGGATGACAACGTATGCGCGCAATGTGACCCGTCTCAGCGGCAGTGCACATGCATTCGCTAGCTACTCCAAACTCTGTCGGTAATTTTACCTACCCTGCACACAGCGTGGGGTGCTTTTGCACATTGTCACATAGCACACAGACCTACACTGATGACAGTGGGTAATTATCGGTTAGCGTGAACAACAACGCATGTAACTACCAATATCACAAATGTAGATCAGTTGTACATCCTACAGCCAGTTAATTCTCCCTTGTAGACAACATAAAGACACAGGTCAATACACTTGCTACAATGATTCCCACCTAGTCAGCATACACTAATGCTGTTTCCGATGCGGTTTTTAAAGTTCGTCCGGTCATCCAGGAACCTCACAGAAAAAGATCCTGTGTGAAATAAATCTACCAACAAGTATGTGCATTACACAAGCTAGACACCATGTCACACGTTATGCTAGAAGTTACATGGGACAAATTTTCTGTGAGCAGTTAGATATCACCAGGTATGTATGTATGTAATCTCAACAGTCGTAACTAGACATAGAGCCAAGGAAACCATGGAAATCAGTGTATAAGAGACAGTCATTGCGTCATAATCGTCATGGCATGCTAGCTGAAGGTGGGCAACACACTTCAGCTAATATGCCGCAAGAAAATGGAATATTTTGACAAAAATACAGAACAAAACATTTTTAGTTTGTTTGTCACACGCCGGTTTTTCTTTTTTTTTGTCATTTTCAATTTTTGTAGAATTAAACATGTGAATCAATACACGTCTCAACCAGATGTCATTGTCAGGTAAAGCGGAACATTGATGCAGCATCACTGAGGTTTTATTCCTTCACACTAACCAGGTTTTCTATAGGCACGTTCCGTTTTTTCACTTTGTTGGCTATACAGGTTACTCGTGTTTTAATTTCACTCTGACTGGAGTCGTTGTCAAACGTCAGCTCAAAAGCGCCCGCAAATGAACCAGTCCTCGATGTGAATGACACCGTTCATATCCTGAGCCATATGTTTCACGAAGGTCGCTCGCAAAACATGTTTGATCTACCTATGTCCATCAAAAATCGTATTATAGCGATAACTTTAGGTGAATGAAAGAGTACTTAAAATATAGTGATTCCCTTAGGAGCGTTGTATTTCACGCTAAAAAAACAGCTTTACATTTTTGGAAATGGTACGCTCAGTAAAAATACGTTAACTTACTCGAAACTCGTGCAAATACTCTTCCAAACTGATGTTTTGCACGGTCGTTGTAGGGGCCATCATTTTAGTCTTGTAAAGCTCTTGGTGCCGTCGTAGTTACGTGCAGTAGTCCAAACTCAAATAGAAATTTATCTCGTTCAATTAGTTCAATTAGTTTCGATGCAGAAATCTAACTGGCTATCAATTTTACTTTACGCTGTGAACTGCAGTTAACGTGTTGTCGCGGAATAATGAGGCTGCTGCGTTGTCGGTGATTTTATATCATAGAGGCCACTGTGGGTTGTATCATGTGCACGTACAGGTGTGAAGAATTTAATCGTTTATGCACATGAAGAAAACCGTTATTACCAATAGCTGTACTTGCTGATGGATAAAAACAAGTTCACTTGCATCAGCAATAGACGAATCAGTACACACGTAGTGTGCGCGCATCGGCTGCGGCGTAAGTCTATGTGCTGTTATGCAACACTTGTTACTCAATGACAACTCAAGTTACCAGCTGAATCCGAGCTATGAGGTACTGAGCGCCAATATGCAAATCAATGTCTGCATTGTGACACCGGTTGATAAATTGCTTCTCTATAATGGGAGCATGCAGTCATCAGGCACACCATGTGTGAGCAGATTGCCAATCGTTTGACAATACTGCATCGATTGGTGCACTGGCACTCTGCCAAAGGAGCATAGAACGCGTTGAATGAGTCGCCATGGATCGATTGGTGCTATGAGTTGAGAGAGGCAGAAGAGAATGTGTCCTCATAATCGCAAGCGAGTCGTCCTACTAAAGTCCAACATTTAGTTTGATTGTTGGAGGCGGTCAGTTTCCCATGGGAATCAACTCCATTCTGAAGGACAGACAAAGTTTCAAGCGCATCTAAGAATTAGTAGCTCGTAGAACGCAGTTCGTTTTACTGCCATTCTCAGGGCGCTCAATTGCTGACGATGTGCATTGTTATTGTAAGTTCAGCTGTTCTGTTTGGAATGCAACCCACTTACCGGTAAGAGTAGAGTAGTTTATGATTAAAAAATGGCCCAAATGCATCAATGTTTTTAACGGAAATAGCTACGATTCGCAGCAGACTTGCTAATGTATCAGCAAGAGCAATTTGAGACACTATACATCTTTAAGGTGATAACAGGTGTGTTGACTCATTCATTCATCGATTCCGAATAACAATGCAGATGTACCTGTAACGTCGGTAACTTCTGTTCACCTCATTTGCCTCTTCAAGTTTAGCATAGTTCAATTTTGTAAGCTGTTTGTAGTATCACATAATGTATTGTTTACTTAGTTGCATGAATCGCAAAGAACAGCTAAGCTGTCTCTACGCTTCACTGAGCACCAAGACAGAGACCATGCACAAGTCCGGGCCGCAGTTGGTCCGAGTCCATTGCCTGCATAAGCTAAGCAAAAGAACTACTTCAGTTCTTTTAACTAGTATAATTCCAGACGCGCGTAGCCTGAATGACAATATATATCAAAATTGAGATAATAGAATAGAACGACGCAGCAGAATACAGCGAACAATATTGCCGAGTTTGAAGCACCCGCCGTGTGTCTTGGACTGCGACACGTAATTTCATTCGTGGCCACAGTTGATTCTGAAGTCACCCTTTGCCGTTCCGATCATTGGGCCCGTCACCGAAGTGGAGGATTTCGGTGTTGCTCTCTCCCATCACTGCATGGCGAGTGTATAGACTATGCCCTACACCATATAGTCGGGACAACAATATAGCCAAACGGAACCACTGCACTCAAGTGCTCAAGAAAAGTAAAGCCACATCTCAACAGAACGTCGCCAAAACCCTCAGCGCTAATCACAAAATTTGTACAAGCAAGTCAGTAACCTTCGTAAAGTGAAGCAGGGATTTGTTTTGCTCTGGAGAGTTAATGGCCCGAAAAGATAGCTACAGAGGCAGCAAACGCGTTGCGGACGCAACCACCAGGCGATCTTCCCACATTTGTTGCCCCACCGCCAACACTCATTTGAGTATGTTTTACCGCTGAAGCTGTATTGCAGAACCTGACTTTTCTACGCAGCCATAGCTCCCATGGCGTCAATGTTCTTCACCCAGAAGCACTAGAAGCAGCAGCAAGACAACTGACAGAGCCTTTAGCTCAGTTCTTCCAGCGCTGTTCTGAATAATATCCCCGATTCACAAAGTAGGGAACAGGCATGGGCCTTCAAACTACTGCCCAGTACCTCTTCTCCACGTACTGTCCAAGAGCATGGAATCCATCATTGCCGATGTGCTGGTGTGCCATCTGGAATACTATAAAATTATTACTCCCGAGCAGCTCGGTTTCCATCGACAGCGATCGTGCGCAACGAATTTACTGATAGCAGCAAGTAGTTGGAGTCACTCGACCCTGGAGAGGACGCTGATGTGAGCTACTGAAATTTTTTGAAGGCATTCGATCGACTACATCAGCGGTCACCAAACTACGGCCTGCGACGTTAGCTCATCCATCTCGCCAACAGTACTCGAAGTTCAGCACCCTAGTTGGGTGCTCATCGTAACACTCATCGAAATTCCGTGTTTACGGTCTTCATACGGATGCACTTCTATCATTTCGTCGCACGGCCCCACTCTGAACGTGTTCATGCAATATCACCGCCGCACTCCAGCTACGTTTAGCCGCTTTGTGTCGTATAGCACTTTCGACAGTTTGAGTGATTCTCAGTGTGCTACCCACTCACAGGGACCGCTCACATCGCTATGGCGCACTTCGCACGGTAATCTCGGAAATGTTTGACACCCCTTATCCTAATGGCCAGTTTGACCCCACTTACCACCTGCTTACATGTTAGTCGACATGTGACCCACACGGTCGGTTCATTCACGCAGGCACAGCGCGGTGCGCCGTGGCTTTCATACAGCTGTCCTTGTCATTGATTCAAGCGACCTATAAGCAAGTCTTGTCGTGGCATTATAACCTGTACGAACACTACTTGTGGTGGTGTGTATGTCACGGCCACGTTGTGAAGTTTTCGAGATTATGGTGTTCACGAGAAGTGTAACCTCGTCAAGCCAAAGGGAGCATGCTACAGACATTTCAAGACAGGTCACATTTCTGCCAGGTGTGGAGACGGCGAAGGGTTCAAAGTGCCCGTGATAAACCAGATTGGTGGAAGCGTTGGATTTAGGAGATGTTGATCAGTCTCTGTGGTACCTCATGCTGAAACTCACAGAACGACAGTTAAAACCACTGCTGCAAGCCGTTTATTTAGTCTGGCCCCATGTATATATTTGCAATATTCACTATGGGATACCTTACCAAATTTGCATATAGCCTATATGATCTAAAGTTCGTATGCACCTTTGGTGAGCCGCTGCTTCCCCAGAGACACTTAACTGCTTGTCTTGCTTGTGTCCTAGTAGAAAAGTAACTATGTTTCAAATTTAACGCTCGTCTTATTAACAACCGTTTACTGCGCAGCTCCTTATGGCTACTAACAAGAGGAAAGTGGACGCTGAATGTCGCCTTTTCAACAAATAACGAAACGAATAATGGAAACTATGTACCAGGAAGCCAGTTGTGCAAAATGCGGCGAAAGTGTTTCCTTTTTGAAAGGGTAACATCTATGGCGTCACTATGAAACAAATCTCCTATCAACATACATAAATTTTTCGGGGAAGCAACGCTCGGTGGAATATACTTCGATGAAAGGGGGTTTAGAAACTCAAAGAATTCTCATCACGAGTAGATTATCTTAAAACGAAGCTGTCGCTGGCACTAATTATACCGTTCATTTATGACAACTTAATCAGTGTAATATAATCTCTGAATTAACTGTTCTGAGAAGAGCAATTTGCTTGCAGTTGTGTGCTTTTCTGCCAGTTCAGCTATGCGGAGAAAAAAGAAGTTGGAGCGAACATAGTGCTGCAGTTGCACGAAAAATTCGAAAATATTTTGCGACATTCTCTGGTGCCGGATGAGTCTACTGATCTCTCGAGTACGTCACAACCTCTCGGGTTCATACGCGTCGTCATTTCGGAGTTTCGGATAACGGAAGAGTTGACATCGTTTAACAGTGTGCATGGAACGAATGGAGAGGACATTTCCGTGGAACTGCACTGAATTTACCTAGACTATAACCTTCCATGGAATCGCTTTTGAGGTGTCCCAATTGATAGAGCGAAAAACGTGGCTGGAGGGAGGAAGGTCTGTTAGGGCAGTATCCTGACTCGCTTGAGCGATTTATACATTCGGGTCGCTGATTTCATAAACTGCATCCTACATCAGCATGCATTCTGTGGGTAAACTTTGGATATTTCCTGTGAACTGAAATCGATCTTTTCAATCGTTAACTTCATTCGTGGACATACTCACATTTGCCGTCATTTCCAGTAGTTTCTGAGAGATAGTGATTCCGAATTCTGTGATTTGCCTCATCACACTCTGTATCCTTTTGCCTAGACCCAGAAAACTGTCCGAATTATGACTGGACAACAAACATTAGACAACTTTAACCTGCTCATGACTTGGTCACTTTGTTAGGCGTCGGTGGGTGGATCCGGACTAACAGTGGATAATCAACCCCCCTCCCCACTAGGATTTTATGCGCCAAAGTGAAGTCCCATCAGTCATCTATGCAATTTCCCCTTACTGTGCTACTTCAAGTCACAGCTAGGTGTACATCTGTACATCTGCCTTCTGAGTGATATTTATTTGTTATCACTTTCACCCAGCTACACCATAGCATGTTCTGATCTTACACTAGTATGGTTGGTTTACAAAAGATTTGTGTCTAACAACAGACATTCTTCAGTGTTTAGCACCTCTACCTCTATTGTTACTCGTAGTTAACCGAAAGGTAGTAGTTAGATGATACAGTGTTATATGAATTACTTTTGTTGACTAATGACCAGACCTAAGCCCGAACTGCCGTTTGTGTATGAATTCGGCTGGATTTGATCATACTAGCATCGGATACTGGTCCCAGCATTTATACTTTGTCAGGCTGCTCGAGTCGTCCGATCCAATGGTTTTGTCTCACGAAGCGAGTGTACTTAGCTACATTTTGCTCAGAATAACTGCAGATAATGACCTCCGGTCG